ATAATGTTTACTAACTTAATCTCAAAAACATAAAACAAGATACAAAATGATTATCAAAGAGAACCTCGATGGTAATTAATGATCAAAGAGGAGCAAAAAACGTGCTTAGACCAGTTGAGAAAAATGGCTTATTTTATAAGTGACTATTTGATTGTGAGATGTGCTTTTTTAGGAAATGTATGAGGATCTCAACCTAAATCATGTGGTTGAAAGAATCTAGTAGGCAAAGAGGTTTCCAAACTGAAGCATGAGAATGCTTTTTGCTCGTCGCTAAGCTGCTTTTTTACAACGAATTTTTTTTCGTCGCCCAAACTTTCATGGCAGAAGAAGATTCTCGTAGTGTTCATTGCTTGGCTTAATTTTATTGAAATCAAGCTATTTCACTTTGTTATTGGTGTATTTTGGTTAGTTGTCCTAAGTTTACATTTGGTTGGGAAATTTTTTAGTATTTTTTTCACTCAAAATAAATGGTTAGGGCTCAAAACAGCCTCTATTGTAGTAGAGATCCAAGATTGCACTCGTTAGAATTGACACTCAAGGTAGGTAATTTATTTTATTTTATATTTTTTTTATTTTGGAGGTCCTTTTTTTAGAAGTTTGATGGTTAGTTTAGGATGCTCGGGGTGAAATCAGACACGTTTGAAAAGTTTGAGGAGAATTTGGGATGCGTTACACACTTAAATTTTATCTTACGCATTTTGGAGTGAATTAGGCATTAAACTTATATTAAATCCATGTTTTAGAGATTGTTTGATCATAAAGTTGATCAAAGCTTGGATCCGCGAAGCTTGGACTCGGTAACCAACGTACAAAGGACCTGTAAAACAAAGTTACACTCTAACGCCTTAGTCCATACACAATCCGATCTATACTCGAGATTAAATATAGTTTCGTGCACCTTGCATTAGAGGTGGGTTCTCTATTTATAGAGGCAAGCTCTTGACAGGGGTTTCGACAACCTAGGACCGAGTTGTCGTGTCAGAGAACATCTTTGTCATTTGTGCACCTACAGATACTCTTTAAGTTCGGCTCGTACCTATCATTGATCGGCCGGTAGATAAAGGTAGATCGGCTCGACAGTCGAGTCGATTAAACTTGCCTTTGTCGAATCTTCTTATCTCATTCTTCTGATCATCTTGACGGTCAATGATCTTTGATGTCAACACATGGCAATCGATAAATCGCCTCACCAGATTAAAACTTTAAAATTTATATTTCGAGATTTAAAATTCTATATTAATACCAAGATTGCTTGCTTTTATATTTAATAGGATTCGTGTTTTATTTAAATCTTTAGATTTGATTTTTAATTAAAAGTTTCCAAATTTAAATTTCTCATATTTATTTAGATTTTCAAACATTAATCTCTCGTGGGCTCCACTCATTTATTCCCCTAATTTTCTCATTCAACTATATACTTTAAATAATTTCATTTATAACAAAAATAAATCTTCTCTATTATCGAATCTTGTTAGAATCTGTCAACTCATTTTAATTTCCATCATCGCCTGAATTCTTCAACGGCCAATTTACATTTTATGTTGATTCATATCATGTTATGTAAATATTGTATACACATACCTATACTAGGTTATAACACATATACCATGTATTGTTATAAGAAACTTTATTATTAGTGATTTTATGTAAATACAGGATATACATACGTATACTAGGTTAAAACGTATATACCATGTTCCTACGTGGACCAACAGCCAGTTAATAAATGAATACTTGAAAAATAAAGAGTGAACAGAGAGATGTAGAATTCATTAATGGTATATGTTATATATATCTATCAAAGGTAATACTGTAAATCCAAAAAATTACCAAATCACCTATGTAATAGAATCAATATTTTTGGGAGAATGTAAAAGATATACCTGCAATTGTATACATATATAGGAACAGAAATTTAATATATACCCATATATGTATACACAATGGTTGTCTTTATCGGAGCTGGAGAGATGTGAGGGGTGGGAGAGGTGGAGATATTGGAATGTTGTCTTTGGTTTGTTTCGGCCAAGTTTGATGACCAAGGAGTCGACGACAGCGATAGTGGTAGATTTCTCGGTCAGCGTTGGTGACTGTTAGGGAGCTGGTAGTGGTCTTCTATCGGAAAGCGCCAAGAAATCTGCCGACGAACACCAAAGACCCTGTCGGAAAACACAAGGAACTCTGTCGAAGACGCCAAGGATTTTGCCGGAAAACACCTTATTCTCTGGTGGTTGATATCTCTCTATAAGAGAGTTATTTGCGTAAGAAAAGCAAAAGCACATATATTAATTAAGAATAGTCACGCCAACACTCATTTCATCTTGACTTCATGCAACAAGTTTACCAACAATCTTGTTATGTTAGTCAATGCTGAGATCTATGTGAATTATCCAAACTTTGAATGTTTTCGTGTAGTATTGTTGATGCTGTAACATCGGAATAAAAAAGGTAAAATATGGCAGAGCTGAAAACGACAGATTTTTACTTAAGAATTTACAGTAGTGAAAATGGAGCAGCACCTGAATTTTTTATCTGGACCCCACTTTATCCATGTTGTATTCCTAAAACCGAGGAGGGGTATATAAGCAACCATTTAAGGCTGCCTCCAACATTCCTTACACGATCAAGTCATTTCTCACTCCCAAAAATTCCCCTAGAGCCCGATGAAAACTAGGAGGGCAAGAGGAGAAGACCCGAAGAAGCACCTGAAGTAGGAGAAAGCAAAGCTCCCTTTCTTTTCTTATTGTTTTTATTTAGATTTGAGCTTATTTTGTCATTCTTCTTTTCGTTTCTTGTATGACATTGTGTAGCTAACCCCATTAGTAAGGGGAAGAATGTTGTGAATCGATTTTGAGCTGTAAACTTTATTGTGGTTTATAATGGTGATGGACACTGAATTGAAGTTTGTTTTTATTATTTGATTTTCAATGTGCTTGATTAACATATTGAGAAATCTCTTTATTAACCTTTGGAAAATCATAATAGAGTGTTTGGATTCAATTTGTGCTAGATCTACTTGAGTTTAGAATATGAATGCTTACGAATTAGAATCACCTAGCAAGGCTAAAAACTAAACTGAAATGCCGTTATTCTAAGTTAAAATACGAATAGCATAAAATCTGGAAATATTCCATGTCTGTTTCGCTAGTGTGCTAACATCATTGTTGCTGGAACATTGTTTACACGTGTTCAAAAATAGGTCACATAAACTCTTTCCCTACCCTTTCATATATCAGTAGTTGATCTCTTTTGCTCATTCTTTATAGTCAAACTATTTTTATTTGTTTCCTAGTATTTTGTTTTGTAAACCTTTACGCATTGTTTTTAAATTACACAAACATCACTTGATTAAATATTTTAGTTATTAAAATTGTTTTTTTTCCTTTGAGTAGCTATTGAAGTGTTTAGTTCTCAATCTCTGTGGATTCGATCTTTTAATCACTTGCTACACGATTTGTGTACACTTATATAAGAATTGTTAGAATCGTTAACAGTAGTTTTCTAGGCTGTCGTAGTATGTATTGGAGATATTCTAGGTTTTCAATTAAATTAGAAACATTTGCACAATTCGAGGGATTTAAAAAATATTTTATGGAAATCACCCAAACAATAATTTTATTCCATTTTTTATTTTGTGTTTTTATGTTTATTGAAAATATATATTGCAAAGGACCAATATGTAATTTTACTTATGGGTTCCATCAATAATAGGTCAATTGGTTAGATAATGTTGTAAATTGTTAAAAGTAAACCAATTTTATAATTTGAATCTTTAAATGGTCTAGTTGTGTCTTATCTTGGTTTAATCAGTTTTTTTTTTCTTTTTATTAAAAAAGAAGGAAAAAGAAAAAGAAAAAACCCTCGGCCATCCATTATTTCATACAACTTAATCTTAGAAATTTGAATTATAGACTGCCATTTAAACCAGGATTTGTTTTTTAAACCATGTTTTTTCACTTATTTTTAAAATAATACTCATCTAAAATATATTAAAAGGGAAGTACAAATTTGAAACTATTTCAAAAAATAATATTTTGGAATTCAGGGAACCACTTGATCGTCTCTCGAAGAAACGATCATGCTATTTTGAGGGAGATGATCATATGATGGTCGTGGTGCCAACATAGTGTGATGATCATCTCTTCAAGAGACGACTATCTACAGATCAATTATGATCCTCTTTTCAAGAGAAGAGCGACCTAATAAAATATTTATTATAGTTTATTATATATTCATAAATAACATCTCTTTTTGACTAAGGGGATGGAACACCTCCCTTACGTCCCAGCCTTCTTAGGTACGAGTCCTCCAATAATTTCCAATATTAATAATAAGAGGAAAGTAGAAAGTTGATTAATAGATAATATTTTATATGTTATTATTTATTATATAATATCTATATGGTATTTTATAATAACAACCTAAAATTTGTCTTTATCTGAGTAGAGGTAGAAAATATTTTATTAATAAGATATAGAATAGTATGAATATTATTTTTATTAATAATATTATATTGCAAATAAATGATATTTGCTAATATATAAATAATATAATTAGTATATATTTTTTTAAAAAATCAACGTCACCCATATCTTGCAAAGATGTTTATAATTGCATGACTAGATAAGAGATGACCATCACTTTATTTTAAAAAAACAAACGTGATGCCTAGCGTTGTGTATGATCGATGACCATATACTCAAAATATTATGAATAGACGATCAAGTGGTGTCCTGAACTCTAAACTATTATTTTTAGAAATAATTTCATTTTTTTAAACGTTTTAAATGAAATTTAAAAAAGTATTATTAAAAAAAAAATCCTTTTAAACCATCCAAAGCCCTAAGGGTGAACTATTTTTGTTTCGGAGCCGATAAATTTCTTTTACCACTCTCCCAACTAAAATACGGAGTAAAAATTATTTCCAAAAAAAAAAAAAGGAAAAAAGAAATAAGGAGTAAAAATAAAGAAACCAACGGAGAAAAGAAAAGAGAGGAAGAAGAAAGTGAGTTTACCGAAACAGAGCGATTTCAAACGCTAGCTCCTTATGATCTTTAGCGCCACTGCTTTCTAGATCTCTGTCTGCCTATACTGCTCAATGGCTGTCCCCGTCGAAGAAGCCATTGCTGCCCTCTCAACATTCTCCCTCGAGGTAATAATGCTCTATCACTTTCACAAATCATCATTCATGCAACAATTTCTTCAACTTCTTGGACTTTTAGCTTTAAATTTGGTCTGTTTGGCTGGGAAATGGGAATTCTGTAATGGGCGTTTTCACTTTTTTGTGCCTTTTCCGTATGCTACTATTTCTTTGATTTCGACTTTAATTGATGTAGGATGAGCAGCCGGAGTTGCAAGGACCGGGCGTTTGGGTGTCAACTGAGAGAGGCGCAACTGAGAGCCCAATAGGTATGCAAATGAATTTTCTGGAGTTGTGTATGACGTAGAACATCTAGATTTAGAGTGGTTATGAATTTGGAGTTGAAAACAGCACCTTCTACTAGATGAATGAGGTCCGAATATGTTTTCTATTCTTCGCATGTGGAGGGTTGATTTTAGAAACTTTTTCTTGGAATGGAAATGAGGATTTATGGTTCTGTTATTTTCAATGAAACTTACTAAGGATGGACTGAGACTTACTAAGGATGGACTGAGACTTACTAAGGATGGGCTGTGAGTGTAGTGTCTGAATATTAGTTGGTATTGAAATCCTTTATGTTCTTGAGTTAGGGCTGATTTCATTGTAACTACAATTGGTTAAGATATCTGTCATACAAAGCCAAGGGGGGAACTACTAACAAAACTTAAAGACTGCAACTCAATATATTGGTTTTCTAGATGAATTCAGCATGTTGAAGGCAAAAGATGCTTAGGTTTTTTATTTCAACTAGACAATGCCCACGGATTTTGAAGGATTTTTTTTTCTCTTTTCTTTTCCATTTTTTATTTTCTAAATATATTTATCAAGACTTATCACTGCGACTATGAATACAACAATAGAAGGGGGAAACAAAATCAAACTTCCCAAGACCAAGGAGCTTAATGAAAAGTTGCTCCAGAAAGTGTTACGAACAGCATATAGTTACAAAAAGAATTAGGTAATGTGCTTGAAGTTGGCACCAAAAATTTAACTATTGCCCAAACTTTCTCCGATTTGTGATTTCTATATTCTCTGGAAAGACTATTTATTTTTGTTCTAGCCAATCGTTCCCATAGCAATGCTGTAATTCCATCACCATAGAACCTTTTGCTTCCTAAATCAATCTCCCCATAGTAGCTATGCTAGGCTATCATTCACACATCAATATTGTAACCAAGACATCCTCATAACTTTAAACAGTGGCGCCAAACAATTCTGGATTAAGTGGCACTGGAAGAAAGGCACGATCTCTCAGTTTCCTCATTGTATTTACACAGCATGCATCGTTTTAGACCAAACATCACATTTGGGTGTCTATTTTGGATCATCTCTCCAGGATTGTTGCCCCCATAAATTTATTAGAGAACCTAACTTTATTTGGTGTTTTCTCCCCTCCAAATGGCCATTGTAATGCAAGCTGGAAATACTGGTTCTGAGGTGGTTATCTACCAGAAGAGAGCTGTGGTGGTGAATGCCCTTCAGTTTACCTGCTGTCGTGCCTTCTTGTCTCTTTGATTTATTTGGATTCTACCCTGTGTTATTTCCAGCGAAGTTGCTATTTCTATTATCTCCTTTTCAACAAGATTTCTTTTCAGCACTAAATCTCTTCCTCCTTGAGGCTTCAACATAGATTTAGGATCAGAGTGCTTTAGGGGAATATTTGTTTATTTACAATTTTTGCCTTGTTATAGTGCTTATATTATTGTAAACATCTTAGTTATTTGTCCTGTATCGTCCTTTTATCTTCTTTACTTTAGGTCAACCTTGTACACTTGTTTATATATGTCCTTTAGTGAATGGAATAAAGATAATGAGGATTTTGTGAACCTTAGGGTTTTGTGAACTTTGTAGCCTCTAGGCTTTGAAGTTTGGACCACTTTCATGGAAGTGTTCATTAGTATTGTGAACCTACTGTCTCTATCGCTGCCACCACCACCCAGTCGAAGAGGTAGCCTAACCGCCAATTATCAAAACCATAAAATTCGGTTGGATTCTGACCAGAACGTTGGGCTTACGCACCATCAAAATGTTTTTCTGCAGTCTTACGCGCTAACATGTGGGGGTGCGTGCGCCACCAGCATTGCCTCTGACCAACGAGGTTCTATTTGCCGTTCCATCCTCTTTTATATTGGTGTATGTGTTGTGGTCATACCTTGGTTGGATTGTGGCTGTTTGAAGGAAAAGCAGTTTAGGAATCTTAGGGCCTATTTGGTTGACAATTCGAATTCTGTTTCTTGTTTTTGGATTCACTTAATCAGGATTAGGTGAATATGCATTTCACAGAATTTGACAATTTGTTAAATGTTTCTGGATTCTGTGATCTAAATAGTAGAAATTCTGAAAATAACATTTTTATGTTTTCAATCCTATCCTGGAAATGAAAATCCTATCCTGGAACGTTAGGGGGCTTGGTGCTCCTTCCAAGAGAGCTCTTGTTAAATCTCTCTTGGTCAAAGTAAACCCGGATGTGGCTATCTTGCAAGAAACAAAGCTTCAGGCTATAGATAGAGGTTTAGTGAAATCTATTTGGAGCTCCAGGCATTTAGGTTGGGTGGAGCTGGAAGCCGCTGGATCTGCCGGCGGTATTCTCATCTTATGGAACCAAGACTCGGTGCAAGTAGAAGACTCAGTGATRGGTTCGTTCTCSGTCTCTATTTTTGTTAACTACAAAGATARCTTTYTGGGCTGGATAACARGAGTCTACGGGCCTTCTAGTTATAAAGGTAGAGATGACTTCTGGCAGGAACTGCAGGATTTGAATGGTCTTTGTTCTGAGAATTGGTGTTTAGGAGGGGACTTTAATGTGGTGCGAAGAGTTACGGAAAAATTGAATGGGGGAAGATCCACTAGAAGTATGAAAAATTTCAATCTGTTGATAGACGAGCTAGATTTGTTTGATGTCCCCATGAAGAACGGTTTATTTACCTGGTCCGCTGTAAGGGAGAGACCGGTAGCCATCCGTATAGACAAATTCTTCCTTTCTCATAGCTGGATGGAGGCTTTCAAAGAGGCGGAGTTAATTAGGCTCCCAAGAACGACGTCAGACCACTTTCCCCTGCTCCTAAAGATAGGAAACCAGAAATGGGGACCGATGCCTTTTCGTTTTGAAAATATGTGGTTAGACCACCCCACTTTCAAGAAAACGGTTGAATCCTGGTGGACTTCCCTACCTTCTGAAGGCTGGCCGGGATATGCTTTTATGGGAAAATTGAAAGCTCTTAAAGCCTTGCTCAAAAAGTGGAACAAAGAGACCTTTGGGGTGGTGGAAGATAGGCTAAAGATTTGTGAAAACAGAATTGAAGCCTTTGGATCAATTAGAATTGGATGGCTTGATTTCTGAAGTTGATAGAAAAGACAGAGAGGAGCTCAAAAAGTCCTACTTGGATTTAGTAATCAGTGAACAWAGAAARTGGGCTMAAAAATGYAAGTTATTGTGGCTAAAAGAGGGGGATGAAAACTCCAGTTTTTTCCATAAATGGGTGTCGGCTAGGAAGTCTAAAGCTTGTATTTCAATGCTAGAAACAGTCTCAGGGGAGCTTCTTACTGCAGAAAAAGATATTGAGCAGGAGATTGTAGGGTTCTACCATCGTCTATGTGGGGAGACTTCAAGGCATAGGTTCTTGGTGGAAAATYTGCAATGGGGAGGCCTTGAGGAGAACTGGAAAGCTTGGCTCGAAAGACCTTTTRACATGGAAGAGATTAAACATGCGGTCTTCAATCTGGGAAATTTGAAGTCCYCGGGTYCGGATGGCTTCACTAATGAATTCTTTAAAAAATCTTGGAACACCCTCAAGGATGATTTGCTAGGGGTGTTCCAGGATTTTTTTAGAAATGGTATCATCAACCGKTGTACAAACGAGACWTATATTTGCTTAATCCCRAAGAAGACGAAGGCCATGAGGGTTGGGGAATTCAGACCGATTAGCCTTGTGACTTCTTTGTACAAGATTATCTCRAAAGTTTTGGCTGAGAGGCTCAAGAAGGTTCTTCCAAAGATTGTTCATGATACTCAATCGGCCTTTATAGAGGGCYRCCAAATCATAGACGCGATTCTGGTTGCTTCTGAGGCARTGGGGGACTGGGAGACTAGGAAAAAMTCTGGCTTCATTCTCAAACTTGATTATGAGAAAGCCTACGACAAGGTCGATTGGACTTACCTTAATGCTGTTTTGGAGAAGTTGGGTTTTGGCGCCCGATGGAGGAATTGGATTAATGGCTGCTTATCTTCAACAAATTTTTCCATCATCATAAATGGTAGACCGAGAGGAAAGATTGTCGCTAAAAGAGGGTTGAGGCAAGAGGATGGCATTTCCTTTTGAATATTTTTGGGGTGGCGACATGCTTCCCAAAACATATTGACGATTGGTTGGTGGAAATTCTCCATGGGTGGATGATTCCAAAGAAGGCTAACTTGATTTGGAAGTGTGCTTCAAGAGCCCTTTTATGGCATCTTTGGATAGAAMRGAACTCTCGGGTCTTCGAKGATAKAATCAGCYCTTTTGACATTTTTTGTAGGAATGTACAGCACACTGTTTCTTGGTGGTGTATTAATTACGGAAAATTCTTTTGTAATATCAACCTCTCCTTGTTCATGAACAATTGGAAAGAGTTGGTCTAGTTTTTGGGTGGGGTTGCCTCTACCCCAGCCCGTTTGCTGTATCTTTCTTTTGTGATTAATGAAAGTTTCTCTAAGTTTCTTATAAAAAAAAAATATTTTTATGTTTTCAGTATTTTCAGATTTTGAATTTGAAACTGTAAAATGCAGAATTATATTAAAAAAAGAAAAAAAATTTGATAACAATATATTATTTCATGTTATAAACTCATTTCATTTTTTGTTTAAATTAAAACAGGTGAAATATAACATATTATTATAAATATAACATCCCAATCATCTCAGGGATGTTAAGACTAGAAGAGGTCTCAAAGATTTTGAGTTTGATGACCTTGTAGCTTTACTTTCTACTTTGAGATCAGTGTCCATTATGTGGGGGAAGACAAATTGTTTGCAATCATGAGGCCTCAAAAGAGTTTTTCAGTAAACTCTTTATATTCTCATCTTACGAAAGGGACCCCTCTTCCAAAGGCTTTATTTTCGGGTTAGTGGAAATCTTCTTGCCCAAAAAAGGTTAATATTCTTTCTTGGATTCTCCGTAGTGGGCATTTCAATACTGCACAAACATTGCAAAGCAAGCTAGTTACTTTCCATTTACAGGCTATGGTTTGTTGCCTCTGTTACTCTAGTAGTGAGACGCAAAAACATATCTTCTTCCATTGTTCTTTTGCATCGAGTTGTTGGTCGTCTCTCCTCCAACAATTTAATTTGTCTTTGGTTTTCTCGGCTGACTCCAAAAGCAACATTCAACAACTGTTCTTCTGTTCTTTCTCCTTCCCGAAGGCCCAATCTCTTTGGGTTAATGCAATAAAAGCCATTCTTTCGGAATTATGGTTTGAAAGGAACTAGCACATTTTCCATGACAAGAAGAAAGACCATTTCAAATGTTTTGAGCTTGCTAAATTTAAAGCTTCCCAATGGTGTGCCTTCTCGGAATTGTTCTCAAGTTATTCTTCCTCCATCATCTACAGCAATTGAGAAACCTTGTTTCTCTTTAGCCTCTGTACTTTAGATTTACTTTTTAACTTTTTTATCACTCCTGTTGGGTGTTTGTATCTTTGAGCATTGTATGGTTTTTCATTAATCAATGAAAATCTCGTTTCTTGTTCAAAAGAAAATATAAATTATACAACATTGTAAAATAATAATTATACAAAATTTATATAAAAAATGTTAATAAATGAATTAATATTATTTTATATTAAACTAAATATTTAGTTAGTAATTACTACTAGTTTACAAATATATTGTTAAACACACGTTAAACAATTTTTTAAATTGAGATTCGATTTTCAAATTTGCTACCAAACACATATATGAAAACATTGAAAACAAAGAAGACAACACTATTTTCACTGAATCCCTTGTTTTTAGATTTATATTTTCCGATCACCAACCAAACACACCCTCAGGACTTTGTAGTTCTGATTGTTTTTCTTTTGGTTTAGTTATGATTTTGTGTCCTAGTTTTTAATATACTAATTCAAATAATTTCCATCAATTTTCATGATCTTGTTTCGACATTTTCTTTGACGTCGTCATTTCCATAAATATATTACTTCTTTTTTAGATATAATGGTTAAAAGTGATCAACTGTAGTCTAATTATGCTACAATAAAAGTTTTATTTACTTTTTCAAACAACTTTCATCAACTTTCACAATTTCCATATGTCATGACATTTCCCTAAAATCAGGATCCCGACATTTCCATCGACATTGACATCTCGAGACTCGAAAATTGGCTAATTTGTAATTCTTATAACATTTTATTTGAGCTTATAGTTAGAAGATCTCCCTCATCCTTCTTTTGTTCTAAATATTCATTTTGTTACAATATATTTTATTTTTCTATATATATAATTCATTTGTTATAAGATGATTATTTTGTAACTTATGGATGCATTTTCATTGTAGAGTATTGTGATGTTTCTGCTTACCGTCTATCTCTAGCAGAAGACACAAAAGCTCTCAATCAGTTGGTATGCTGCTTTTCTTTCATGTCAAGTATTTAAAGTTTATTCTTGTATCTCTAAACAACAACAACAATAATTATTACTAGCCCCCAAGGGGCAGCCTAGTTAGCAAGGGCTTGGGGTCTCTTGGTCATACTGGCTTAAAGGTCTCAAGTTCGAATCTTCTGGTGAGTTTAATACCAAAAACCCTTGATATCTCCTGGGTCTGGGCCTTGGGGTGGGTGGGGGTGCCCCTGGGTATGGGGGAGCAAACTCCGATTCCTGGTTCTAAACAAAAATTATTACTTTTAAAAAAGAAATAATATAAGTTACACTATAGCCTTTCAACTCCTTAGAGGGGAAATACAAAAATACATTCTTTCTAAAAATAACCCAAAACTTGTTGGAAAAATGCCCCAAACAAGAATTGAGACAGAGGAAGAAGAATTCCTAAATTAATTAGAAAGAACAAGCGCAGAAACTCTCCCGATTCTTTACCTGGGCATGCCTTTAGGAGGCAACCCTAAACATGATGCTTTTTGGAGCTCCATTCAAGATAAGGATTTCAAGAAGTTAGATAGATGGAAGCGGTATCATCTTTCGAAGGGGGTAAGTTGACTTTATGTCAATCGGTTCTTGAACATCTTCCTTTACACTATTTCTCTATTTTTCAGGGCCCGATGAGAGTTATAAAGCAGTTGGAGAAAAGTATCCGCTCTTTCCTTTGGGGAGATTCTTCAAAAGGCTCGGTGAATCATCTAATAAGGTTGGATATTTCTTCTCAAGCTAGAGAGGTCGGAGGTCTGGGTATTGGAAATCTCTCCAAAAGGAATAAAGCCTTGTTAGCCAAATGGGGTTGGAGATTTAGTGTGGAAACGTCAGCTCTTTGGCGATCAGTGGTGGCTAGCATTTACGGGTTGGATTATAGAGGTTGGTGCACATTGCCCAAGTTGGTTGGTTCGGGTCGAAGTCCTTGGCATAATATTTCAAAAGCTTGGCAACAGGTGGAGCTGTTTTCACATGTCAAAGTAGGGAATGGCCATCGAAGTCTATTTTGGCATCATGTATGGATGGGAGATGTCTCATTAAAGGAGAGATTTCCTTATCGAATTTCTACTAAACCATACATTATGGTTGCGGAAGCTTGGGATGTAAATATTCCTCTTGGAGGCTGCCTACTAGGCGTGCTTTGAAGGAGAAGGAGGTTGCGGATATGGCCATTATTTTATCACTTCTTTCTTCAGTTGCCCTTCATGATTCTGATGATGTTAGGGTTTGGAGTTTGGAGTCTTCGGGCATCTTCTCTGTTCGTTCGTTAAGCAGGAAAGTGGCTATTGTTTCCAACATTTCCAAGGAGGTTTTTTCAGTCTCATGGAATTCTCATTGCCCTAAGAGGGTCAATTTTCTGGCTTGGGTCCTTCTTATGGGCAAGGTCAATACTATGGATACTCTTTAGAAGAAAACGACTTCAATGATGTTGCAACCTTCGATATGTTCCTTGTGTAAAGCAAGTGGGGAGTCACAAGGGCATGTTTTCTTCATTAATGGAAGACCAAGAGGAAGAATCCTTGCTTCAAGAGGCTTAAGGCAAGGTGATCCTCTTTCTCCATTCTTGTTCTTAATTGTGAGTGACGTTTTGAGCAGTTTGTTGGAACACATATACTCTATTGGAGCATTTGAAAGATTTACTGTTGGTCGGAATTCGGTGCATATTTCACATTTGCAATTCGCCGATGATACACTATTGTTTTGCAAAGACGATGATAATATGTTCGCTGTATTGTTTGACACAATTAAAGCCTTTGAAATGGCTCTCGGGGTTGAAAGTAAATTGGGAGAAATCTTCTTTAAGTGGAGTCAACATGAATACTCAGAAAATTCAGAGGATGGCTTCTAAATTTTGTTGCAAAGCTGAAAAACTTCAGTTGATTTATTTAGGAATGCCTTTGGGGGGAAATCCAAAGCATGACAATTTTTGGAGTCCCATTCTTGACAAAACAACAAAGAAGCTAGATCGATGGAAGAGATATCAACTTTCGAGAGGTGGAAGGTTGACCCTTTGTCAATCGGTTCTTGAACATCTTCCATTATATTATTTTTCTCTTTTCAAGGTTCCTATGCGAATTTGCAAAATAATGGAGAAAAATGTTCGATCCTTTCTTTGGGGAGATTCTTTGAAAGGTTCAGTAAATCACTTAGTAAGGTGGGACATATCTTCTTTAGATCGAGAGGAAGGTGGCCTTGGCATAGGGAACTATGCTAAAAGAAACCGAGCTTTGCTTGCCAAGTGGGGGTGGCGGTTCAGTGTTGAATCCTCAAGTTTGTGGAGGCTGGTGGTGGCTAGTATTCATGGCTCTGATTTTGGTGATTGGTTCACTTTGACTAAGTTGACAGGTTCAGGTAGAAGCCCTCGGAGGAATATATCTAAGGTATGGAAGCAAGTGGAATCATTTTCCCATTTAAAAATCGGGAATGGCAAAAGGTGTCTGTTTTGGCATCATCGATGGATGGGAGATTTTTCGCTTAAAGATAGATTTCCAGCAATCTTTAGGATCTTTTCTAATCCGTCCATTGTAGTTGTGGATGCTTGGGATAACACTGGTTATTCTTGGAGGCTGCCAACTAGGCGTTCATTGAAGGATGATGAAGTCATTGAATCTTTTATCCTTGCTTTCTTCAACCTCCATCACAGAAGATCAACGAGTTTGGAGTTTAGAAGCCTCGGGTATATTTTCAGTTCGATCATTGAGCAAATTCCAGCATTCGGTTTCTAATTTTCCTAAGGAAGTACTACCTATTTTATGGAACTCTTTTTGTCCAAAGAGAGTTAATTTCATGGTTTGGATTCTTCTAATGGGCAAAGTTAACACTTCRGAGACATTACARAAGAAAATGCCCAATTCTTTGATGCAGCCATCATGTTGTTTACTGTGCAAAGCAAGTGGGGAAACCCAAAGGCATGTCTTCTTCTCATGTAGCTATGCAGTGGTCTGTTGGAAAAAAATCCTATCTTTGTTTGGAGTTTCATGGGTGTGGGATTTGGAGGTGCCTCAAATCATTTTTCAGCTTTTCAGTGGGCTGCAAGCAAGTTCTAAAACTAATCTGCTTTGGGCTTTTGGAATAAAAGCTCTTCTCTCCGAATTATGGTTTGAGAGAAATCAACGAATATTTGAAGGCAAGAATCGATCTCCTATGGAGTGTTTCTCAATCGCCAAATTCAAAGCCTCCCAATGGTGTGTTCGTTCCGATCTCTTCTCTTCTTATTCTCCTAGTATGCTTTGTATGAATTGGGAGACTTTTATAATTCCCCTTTAAGGAGGTTTATTTAAGTTTATGGTTTTTATTTCTTCTAATGCTTACTTTTATTTATTTCCTGTACCTTCACTCCTATGGGAGTTTGTATCTTTGAACAATTTTGTTCATTTTCATTTATCAATGAAAAGTTCGTATCTTGTTCAAAAAAACAAAAAAAATATGCATTAGAGCATGAGGTCTTGTGTTCAAACCTTTGCATTATTGTTTGCTCCCATTTATTATGATTTCCACTTGTAGGGCCTTGTGCAATTTTCCGAGCCCACAAGTGAGAGGGAGTGTTAGATATCCATTAATGAATTAAATTTACCCAACCCATCAACATAAGCTTTTGGGTTCGTTGGTGGTTTGTTCATGTTTAATAGTTTACCATTTTGTACTCTTTCAAGCTTCTCAATGAAAGCTCGGTTTATCACTAAAGAAAGTTGGTTCCCCATGAAGGAAGCCTAAAATTTCTGAAAGGCCAAACCCCATCTTTCAACCTCTTCAAAATTATTAGGACAATTTGTCGAACCAAGTAATATTGATAATTCGTCTAAATCCATTTAAGAAGGTTATTTTTTGCTGTAATTTCTCTATATTGTTAAGATGTTTGCTGATATCTTTCATTGGCAGAATGCACTTATTCACGAGGGGAAAGAGATGACATCAGTTCTTTATACATATCGAAGTTGTGTTAAAGCACTTCCTCAGGTTAAAATGCTTTATAAATATGTTTTAATATTTAAATATTGTGCATGGCCTATTATTATTTATTCATGAAAGTGATTTTCTTGATAGGGAATATCTTTGTTTGTAAGTATCATGGAAAAAATTTGGGTCATTTTGTGTGAAGATGTGCAAAGTACACCGGTTCATATGTATGTATTAAGTTAATATCTGCAATTTGATGGTCTTGTTAGGGACAATAGACCTTTCACATTTCCATGGTATTATCCCAAATCCACTTGGGTATAATGGTGTCAACCAATCAGAATGGAAACTTAAAAACAATTCTTATTTCCTCAGCAGACCCGACTTGGCCTTTTATAGGTTACCTAGCCAACGAACTACTAACTAACTAAAAAACCAACAGCTATAATAACTACCAATAATAAAAGGTTCCAACTACTAACAACCAACGGCTATAAACCTAGAACTAACATTACATCAAATTCCTTCCTCCAAAAAGAAAACTCGTCGTCGAGTTTAGTTGGCTAAAGTGAACGCATCCGTGGCTTGGTAGTCGTAGATATTCGCAACATTGAATACTGGAGTTATTCGAAGATCGTCGGGTAGATTAACTTTGTATGCATTATCACCATAGTTTTGAAGTATCTCAAATGGTCCAATCTTCTTGTTGCATAATTTGTTGTAAGTCCCTTTAGGAAAGTGCGATTTCTTCAGATACACCATGACCAAGTCCCCGACTTCAAATGTTTTCTTCCGTCTGTGTGTATCTGCTGCAACTTTGTAGGAGGCAGCTGCTTTTGTAAGGTTATCCGTTACTTCCTTGTGTAGCTCCACTATTCTTTCGGCCATAAGTTCTGCCTCCTGATTAAAATCAATAGAAGATGGTAAATTAGCAAGGTCCACAGTAAGCCTAGGGAGTTTTGTATACACAATGTCAAAGGGGGACTTCCCTGTGGATCGGTTGCGCATATGATTGTAAGCAAATTCAGCTTGCACCAATGTAAGATGCCATTCCTTTGGTTTAGTCCCTCCTAGACATCGTATAAGGTTGCCCAAAGTTCGGTTTGTGACCTCCGTTTGACCATTTGTTTGAGGATGGCTGGTGGTGCTAAATTTCAATCCGGTATCAAATTTTTTCCAAAGTGTTTTCTAGGAGTGGCTCAAGAATTTGACATCCCGATCTGAAACAATTGTTTTTGGAATACCATGTAGGCTTACTATCTCACGAAAGAAGAGATTAGCAATGTAAATAGCGCCCGACGTTTTTTTACATGGCAAGACATGAGACATCTTGCTAAACTGATCCACAACTACAAGAATCGAGTCATGTCCCCGTTGTGTCCTAGGGAGTCTGAGGATAAAGTCCATAGACAAATCCTCCCATATTGATTGAGGAATGGGAAGGGGTGTATATAGTCCGGTGTTCTGGGATTGTCCTTTGGCGGACTGCATATAAGGCAGCGACTGACAAAATTGTTTACATCCCGCCGTAGTTGAGGCCAAAAAAATTGTGAGGCAACAAGATCATGTGTTATATCCCGGCCAAGATGGCCTGCCAAGCCTCCACTGTGTAAGTCCTTAATCAAGGTTTCTCGTAGGGATGTGTGTGGTATACATAATCGGTCTCCTTTAAAGAGAAAGCCATCAACAATGTGAAAATCATTGGAATTAACATGATTGATACACTGGTTCCAAATAAGATTGAAGTCACTATCATGTTCATACGTAGAAGGTAAGTGATCAAAGGCAATAACTTGTCCTGATAGAAGTGTTAAGAGGCTTACTTTCCTACTAAGCGCATCTGCCACTTTATTAGTTGTTCTCGCTTTGTGTTTTATGACAAAATCAAATTTCTGCATAAAGGCAATCCAGCGGGCATGCATTCTATTTATCGTTTTTTGTGTTTGTAAATATTTGAGGGAGAAATGATCTGTGAAGAGTATGAAATCCTTTCCAATGAGATAATGCTCCCATTGTTTTAATGCTCTTATTAATGCATAGAGCTCTTATTCATAAGTGCACCATTTTTGCCTAGGGGGGTGAGTTTTTCACTAAAATACTCGATGGGATGGCTTTTTTGGGATAAGACTGCACCTATACCTATGCCGGATGCATCAACAGCGACTTCAAAAGGGTATGAGAAATCTGGAAGGGCTAGGACAGGTGTAGAGCTTAGTTTGTCTTTCAGTGTATTGAAACTAGTAGTTTGTTCTGTATCCCAAAAAAATTTACCTTTCTTTAGACAATCTGTGAGAGGTGCAGCAATAGAGCTAAAGTGCTTAATGAATTTTTTATAGAAAGAAGCTAACCCGAGGAAACATTGAATATCCCTTACCGAAGTTGGAATGGGCCATTGTTGGATAGCTAAATCTTTAGAGGGGTCAACATAAATGCCAAATTGTGTAACATAGAATCCAAGAAAGGCTATTTCAGTAGTCATGAAGGAGCATTTAGCTAGATTAACATGTAGTTCGTGTTCTTGTAATGTGAAAAAAAGTGTTCTAAGATGTTCTATGTGTTCGACCTCAGATTTACTATATACTAATATGTCGACAAAGTAAACTCCCATAAAATTGTTAAGATAAGGGCGAAGTACCTGGTTCATCAAGCACATAAATGTACTCGGTACGTTAGACAAACCAAATGGCATAACAAGCCATTTAAAAAGACCTTCATTTGTCTTGAAGGCTGTTTTCCATTCATCTTCGGGTCGTATGCGGATTTGGTGATATCCACTTTTGAGGTCCACTTTAGAAAATAAGTGAGCACCGCTAAGTTGGTCCAATAGATCAGATAAACGGGGAATAGGAAATCGGTATTTGATTGTAATCTTATTGATGGTGCGACTATCCACGCACATCCGCCAGGATCCGTCCTTTTTTGGTGCTAACAAGATAGGCACGGTGCAAGGACTAAGACTAGGCCTAATATGTCCCTTTAGTAGAAGATCATTCACCTGATCATGCAGAATTTGATATTCCTTGGGGCTCATTCTCTAATGAGGCAAGTGGGGCAAGGAAGAACCAGGATGAAAGTCGATGCAGTGCTGAATATCCCACAAGGGTGGTAACCCTGCAGGCTCTTTGGTGATATCAACAAATTCTTTCAGGAGATGTTCAATCTTGGGATGGTGAGCAACGGGTAGAGAAAGAGGAGAATTCCCTTTAACTACCGAGGCCCATACCATAGGATCCCCTTTTTCTAAGAAGGATTTGCCATTGATGATGGAGAATAGGTTCTGAGACGTAGTGGATGTATCATTTTGGACTTTATATCCATAGTGGACGGAAGAAGAACAATTTTCTTACCCATCCAATTAAATTCGTAAGTATGTCCCACCCTCTATGTAATGCTTATAGGTTGAACTACCAAGGGCGACCCAACAAAATGTGGTATGCGTCCATATCTAATACATCACAAATAACTTGATCCTTATATTGATTCCCAATGGATAGAGGTATAGTGCATACAGATTGTATTTGAACCTCACCCCCTTTGCGTATCCAAGAAACCTTATAGGGAGTAGGATGGGGATCAACCTTGAGATTTAACGCGGTCACCAATCTTTGGGAGACCATATTCTCACCGCTGCCGCTGTCAATTATAACATTGCAAATTTTTCTGTTGACAGTGCAACGAGTTCGAAAAAGGAAATGTCTTTGATTAGGAGTCTCCACCTTTGGAGTAAGGAGAACTTTTTGAAGGACATGGTTAATTGGCGCTCCATCATCCGGTTCAATGTAGGCAATATCATTGTCATCAAGGAGCTCAGTTTCTTGATCATCTTGATCGTCGTCATCAACCAATGCCAAGGCTCGGCATTGGGGACATTCATTTGATAAATGGCCAATTTGCCCACAACGGAAGCATTTTCCAAGAGTAGGTCTAGTATATTGATTATTACCTCGTTTTGCCGTGGTGTCAATAGGTTTGGGCAGTGGCAAAGCTTTAGGCGCTTCATCATTCTTAGTAGCAGTGGAGGTTGAGGCACCAGTTAGAGGTAATGTTTTTCCGGTCTCCCCACCTGAATTTTTAGACAGAGGCTGTTTATCCCAACTAGGGCGATGAAATGATGTCTTGACACGCTTCTTTTCTATCTTAGCTTCAATCTTTGTGGCCATAGAGATAGTCTCAGTGAGTAATCTGATAGGTTGAGTATCCATTTGATCTTGGATATCCTCACGCAATCCATCAACAAAGCGGGCGATCTTATAGTCTTCTATTTCGGTTAAATTGGTTCGAGTGCCTAAGCGATGGAACTCCTCAGTATAGTCAGTAATCGACTTACTGCCTTGGTGACATCGTTGATATTGTTGATAGAGTAGCTATTCAAAGTTGGGTGGGAGAAAACGCTCGTGCATAAGGCGCAGCATTCGAGGCCAACTCCGAATTGGGCGTTTGCCAAGGCAGCAGCGGTTGATCTCTAATTGATCCCACTAAGCCGATGCACCAAATTGCAACCGAAAAGCGATGAGCTTGACTTTCTTATCTTTGGGCGTGCTGGTGTAGTCAAAGAAGTTCTCGACATTCTTGACCCAATCCAAGAATGCCCCTACATTCATCTTCCCATTGAATGTAGGTAAATCAATTTTCATGCGAAAGTCAGTACGAACGCCGCCCCTGTTGTAGTTTTCCTCTCTATCAAAATGGGGATTTGCACGAAAAAATTCCTCTTCCTCATCTGAAGAATCGAATTCTTGGACCTTCACCTGTAATTCTTGATCCCTTTTACTATTCCCTTCCATATCTCTTGCACGAACAGGGGTTGGTGATCGGTTTCTTGGTCTTTCTTGAGGTTGTCTTCCCCGATTTGCATTGCCGTGAGTCCCTAAATCCAGTCGCAGTCGTTCTTGCTTGACAGGGATCAACTCCAACTGCCTTCCAACATTTTCCAGAAGGTCGTGGATGTTCCGCACGTTCTCCCGTACTTCACCCAATGAATCTTCCACTAACAGCAAGCGATTAGTGGTTGTTTTGGGTGATAGAGCTTGCTCTGCCGAAGGATCTCCCACGAGTCTCTT